GTAATCAAGACAGTCATATTGACATAGGATAGCCATACAGATGAATGGAACTGCCTAGAGTCTACAAGTAACCCCTCACACTTATAGTCCGTTGGTTTTCAAGACAGATGTAAGGAAATTCAAAGGGGACAACTGGATAGCCATATTCTGAAAAGGAAAGAAAAAGAAAAAAAAGAACTAGACTTTTACCTCTCATCATAGACAAAAATTAACTCAAAATGGATCATATGCCTAAATGTAAAGAGTAAAACTATAAAATTCCTAGAAAAAAATAGGGGAAAATTTTTGTGACCTTGGATTAAGTGAAGATTTCATAGATATGACACAAAAACATGATCCATATAAGAAAAATACTGATACACTGGACTTCATAGCTTTTATTCTTCAAAAGATACTGTTAAGAGAATGAAAAGAAAAGCCACAGACTGGGAAAAAAAATATTTACAAATCATATATTTGATAAAGGACTTATATTTAGAATATTAAAAAAAACTTTTTATAAAACCTTACAACTCAATAAAAAGACAAACAACCCAATACAAAAATTGGCAAAAGATTTGGATAAGCATTTTAAAAGAAAAGATATATGAATACCTAATAAGCACATGGAGAGATGCTCAACATCATTATTTATGATTGAAACGCAAATTAAAAATATAAAGAGATAGAATTACACATCCACCGAAATGTCCATATAGTAGTCCTTGGGCGATATGCTCCAAGGGGACCTCCTGTGGATGCCTGAAACCCTGGATAGTACCGAACCCTAGACATACTGTGTTTTTTTCCTATACATTCACAGCTATGATAAAGTTTAATTTATAAATTAGGCACAGTAAGAGATTAACAATAACTAATAAAATAGAACAATCATAACAATATACTGTAGTGAAAGTTACGTGAACGTGATGTCTCTCTCTCTCTCAAAATATCTTATTGTAATCACTCTATCTGATGTGAGATGATAAAATGCCTACAAGATGAGATGAAGTGAGGTGAAGCTCACAGGCATTGTGATGCAGCATTGGGCTGCTATTGACCTTCTGAAAAAATGTCAGAAGGAGAATCACGGGCTTCTGGACCCTGGTTGATCATGAGTAACTGAAACTGTAGAAAGTGGAAACCACTAATAAGGGGGACTACTCTACTCCGAAAGATTGACAATATCAAGTTGTGGGGATGGCATAGAAAAACTGAAACCTTCATACATTGCTAGTAGGAATTAAAATGGTACAGTAACTTTGGAAAACAGATGGACAGTTTCTTAAAAAGTTAAACACAGGGGTGCCGGGGTGGCTCAGTCAGTTAAGCATCTGCCTTCAGCTCAGGTCATGGTCCTAGGGTCCTGGGACTGGGCCCTGCGTTAGGCTCCCTGCTCAGCGGGGAGTCTGCTACTCCCTCTCCCTCTGCCCCTCCCCTCCATTCATGCTCTCTCTCACTGTCTCGCTTTCTCTCTCAAATAAGTAAATAAATAAAATCTTAAAAAAAAAGTTAAACATATACATATTATACAATCCAGTTTATATCCATATATTCATACCAATACTGTTCATAATAGCCAAAAACTAGAAATAATCCAAATGTTCATCCAAATATCCATAAAATAGAAACAATGTTAAATGCAGAGAAAATTTTTAGGAGAACTTCCTTCATGAACTATCAAATCTCTGATCTATAAACACGATGTGTCATTTCATTTGTTTTTTTTTTTTTTAGCTGATCTTTAATTTCACTCAGAAATGTTTTGGAGTTTTGGAAAGGGAAAAAATTTCATACAATAGAATACTAATTTGTCATTAAAGAAGAATGAACTACTAATACAAAGAACAATATGGATAGATCTCAAAAATATTATTTTAAATGAAAGAAGCCAAAGACTCCATATTAATCTATTTACATGAAATTTCTAGAAAAGGCAAAGAGAGATAGGGGACAGGAAGTGGGCATAAGGAATGACTGTAGAGCATCAGGGAACTTTTCGGGTGATGGCAGTATCATGAATTGTGATGATGGTTTACAACTGTATAAATTTCCTAGAAATCATTTAACTACAGTTACAATGGTGACTTTTGTGATATGCAAATTATACCTCACTAAAGCCATTACTGTAAGGGAAGAGGAGAAGAATGACTCTACCTTTCCTACAAGAACTGTCTTTCGGGGTAACCAAATTGCTAATAAAGAAAATTTCTTTTATAGAGGAATTCCAGCTAATAAATACAGAAAGTGACAATATTAGAAAAATCACACTTTGTAATCCCTAATTAAAAGATGGATCTCAAAGGGTGCTAAAGCTACTCAATGAAAGACTGATGAGGAACTCTGCAATAGAGGAATCAGGCTGGTGCTGCCTGGAGCCAGATCATCAATCTTAACATCACTAAACTTAAGACCATCAGACTCATATACCACTTGATATTTTACAAGTACACAGCATCAGCTCTGAAGGATTCTTGCCAAAAAAAATAAAATAAGCCTGAATCCAATGAAACCTCTAGATCTAATTATCAGTTTACATAATACAGTAATAAACAAGCTAAACAACCCTTTAAGGAAGCAATCAGTCAAATCCAAGTTGTAGGATATTCTAAAGGACTTGGTTTTTCTAGCAAATTCACAGCATTAAAGGGGTGCCTGGCTGGCTCAGTCAGTGGAGCATGTGAATCTTGATGTTGGGGTTATAGGTTTGAGCCCCACATTGGGTGTGGAGATTACTTAAAAAAAAAAATCTTAAAAAAAAAAAAAGTGAGGGACACTACTACAGAAAAAAAGAAACTCAAGAGCTAAACAGCGATACACAGAGTGTGAACCACACCTTGATTGGATTCGGATTTTATCAAACCAACTGTAAAAAGACGTTTGGTGACAACTGGGGAAATCTTCCTAATGACTACATATTTGATGTTATTAAGAAATTATTAATTTTCTTGCATGATACCAGCATAGTGGTTGTGTGTGTGTGTGTGTGTGTGTGTGTCTTTATCAGTTGGAGGACATGCTAAAGCATTTGTGGTAAAATGATGTAAAGAATTTGCTTTTAAAGATTCCCACAATTACTTTAAGTGACAGAGTGTACATGTAATAAGACTGATAATATGTTGAAAATTGTTGAAGCTGGACAATAGGTATATTGGACTTCATCATCCCATCCTCTCCACTCTCAGTATGTTTTAAATTTTTCATATTAATAAGGTTAGTGGACAGTGAAAGACTGTACAACTATGAGGGAAAAAACGTAAAAGAAAAAAAGAAAAAGCTCAGAGGAGAGGTCAAAGATAAAGACTGATGTGAAAGTCATCAGAAGATAGAGAATACATGAAGCCAAGTCTTTGGAGAGCAGAATAAAGGAGAAAATAGAAAATAAATACATAAAAAGAGACCAGAGAAGTAAAGCCAGTGGAATAGTAATATTTAAAGACAGAGCAGAGAAAGAGAAGTTTGAGAAAGATACCAAAAAGTGGAATCAGTAAGGTGGGAAGAGACCTAAGAGAAAAATTGAATCAGGAAAATCAAGCAAGAAAGTTTCCAAATAATAAGAACCATGAAGTATGCTTCTTACAGCCCCAAAATTTCAAATCAAATAGAAAAAAGGGGGCACCTGGGTAGTTCAGAGGGTTAAGCATTCAACTCTTGGTTTCGGCCCAGGTCCTGATCTCATGGTTTGTGAGATGGAACCCTGTGTGGGGCTCTGCGCTCAGTGAGAGTCTGCTTGGATATTCTCTCCCTCTGCTCCTTCCCCTGCTCCCACTCTCCCTCTCTTTCTCTCTCTCAAATAAATAAATCTTTAAAAAAAAACAAATAGTAAAAAAAAAAATGTTTCAAACAAAAGAATTTCAGAATGATGAAATAATTATCTCATACTTAGATATGGGATAACAATAGATATTAGATAATATTTAGATATTTAGATACTAGAATTCATATTTTCTAAGATACACAACACAATTTCCCAGATATTGAAGAAGATGTTCAAGAAATATTAACATTTATGTAATGTTATTTAAAAAAAGGCATTTACCTACTGGCACCAAACTGCTACCTACCTAATCTACCACAGTGAAAGATAGAATAGCAAGGGCTAGAACAACTATAAAAAAATAAGTAAGATAATGACACTGGCCATAAAGAGTTCTCCGGAGAAGAATCACTAAACTGTACGATTCATGAAGATAAGACAGTAAGCTGGCCCTATTTCTCTCCCTATGCCCAGATTCCAGCATGGTGCCAGGTTCCATGTTTCTACAATGCTGGAATCCCAGGGGGTGCAGGGCAGAAGAACAGGTGACATTGATCATGCCCAATATTGTTGGTGTTTGAACCACAGTTATATATTAGACCAAACTGGTGATCTCAGATCCCTCTCTAATTATAAGGATAAATAACAGAGCTTTTCATTTCATACCCAGAGCTTGAATAACTTATTCCCAAGTATATATATAACTTCGCATTGCTGCTATCAAAAACAGTTGTATCTTTTTATAGTTGATTCCTAGTACTTTGAGGAATTTACTATTATTCACAGCCTTGAAAATGTCACTTCAAATAATTTACCAACGTATTAGATGCAATATAAAATGCAAGTCGTATATAATTTTAAGCTACCATTATTTCAATCTTCTATTATTTACTCTATTAATTTGTAATACCCTGAGGTTAAAGACATAGGCTTGTTTGCAGGGCAAAGCCCCACCAACGTGAATCTCTATCTTTACATCAAAAACATTTCATATCATCTAAATCAATATAAGGTTCAAATAAGTCTTTTTGATTTCCACAGACCTAACACAGAAAAAGGAAAAACTCCCAGCCTCTCTGCAGCACATGTATATTTTATTATTTCCAGGTATATTCTGAAAAATGTTTCTATAAAGTGTTTAAAAAGTCTCAACTCAAGATTTTTAAAATTCTTAGTAGACTCTTTTTAACTTTTACCTAACCCAAGATTAAGCAGCATAATTCTAAAATGCCTTAGAATCAGGAATTAAAAGTTAAAAACTTACATTCAAGCTGTGCAACCACATCTCCAGGGTCTACTGCTTCAGGGAACACCTGGAGCGGGAGAACGGAAAGGGAAGCAAGGTGAAGACAGGAAGGGAAAGGAACATACACCTGAAACAACAGTCCGTGTTTTCCCTCTCATTCCCCAAATATTCCTTTCCCAACCAAAGAAACTTCTGGCGTTACTGAAGACTGTCACTTCGTCTCTGCTTCCCATGATCACCATGGAGGATTTGACAATTAAACATATCTTACAGCCGGCTGTCGTGCCCTCTCCAACTTCACCTATGCTTCCTCTTCACCTCCAGTTCCTGCCCTGTTTGTTTCCATGGTCATACTGATCTTCTTGGTGCTCCTCCAACTCATCAAGCTTATTCCCAACAAGAGGCTTTATATTTGCTATTCCTCTGCTTAGAATGCTTTTCCCCTAGACCTTCGAGTAACTGATAACTATCTCATAACTCAGGTTCAGCTTAAATGTTACTGCCTTCTCTGACCACCCTTTAAATTAGATAATCCCCCTAATCACTCAGCCCCTCTCTGTCCCCTCACCCTCCCTTTATTTTTTTCATGACACTTATCACTATCTAAATTTGTATTATTCCTGTGTTTACTTGATTATTGCCTGTTTCTCCTATTACAGTGAAAGCTCCAAGAGAGGAGGCTGTTTGTCTTGTTTACCCAGTGCCTATAGAACAGTGCATGGAACAGAGCAGGACGTGGGTACTTCCTTGCAGAAGAAAAGGAAAAGAAAGGGAGGGAGGGAGGGAGGGAGGGAGGAAGGGAGGGAAGAAGGAAGGAAGGAAGGAAGGAAGGAGGAAAGCAGAGAAGGAAAGAAGGAGATAAAAAAGTGAGGAATATGACTGGTAATAACCAAAAGCAGCAGTTTCAGGGAAAAATAGAAAAGAAACTCATAGAAAGAAGTATCATAAGATAGCCATAGTAAAAATAAAACTTATTTTTTCCCATTAATGTCTCCTCTCTTTTTTTATAAAAAATATTTAATACTCAAGATGCTCTATTTTACATAAAGCCCACTAACATAATTTTAGAAATAAGCTGATCCATCTTGAAAAAGAGGCAACTGATTTAATGCATAACAGAATGCATATTTATTTTCAAGCTTCCAGGTTTAAATTACATATCTCCTTTCGAATGAAACCAAAGTATAAAGTCAGCAACAATAATTTGTGTTCTGGGCTTTTATTAAAAATTTGGAAGTACTATGATTATTTGTTAATATTTGATCTGATATTTGAACTCACCTTTTCAAACACCATTCTGGCATTGAAGACCAGTGGAAAATTGGCTGGGACACATTGTGTCTTTTTGTATTGGCCAAACACACAGATGCTAAGATAGATGTCCTCCTTGTCTTTCAGCACCACTCCTGGACAAGTTACCTGAATGAAATTAGATAGATGTAACTGCTTTATGAATTCCCTGAACTAACCCACTAAAATAATTTACAAGGCATTACATAAAAACACTAGTCTGCTAAGCTAATAAAAACACACACAAATAAAAAAAGGAGAGAGAGAGATTATAATGTTTACAGAGTTAAATGAAATGCCTTTATAACTTCCATCCCCCTGAGAAATCTATGATTCTCCATTTGGTTATTTGTGCCACATTTGAAGCTCTGTGTACTGGCTCTTGGGACAGACACTAACAGTTTTAAACAGTCAGCCTTAGGCACCCACTTTATGCTGAATGCTGACATAAACTTATTCAGCATCATTTAATCACAAAGGATTAAGACTCAGCAGAAACAAAGCACTATCCTAGAGGACACAAAAAAATAGCGATAAAAAACACAAATCTGACCTATATCACCCTACACAGCAGCCCACACACACTCTCATCAAAAGCAATATGACAAAGTTTCAAAGCTAATGAATTATAAGTTTCTGGCCCAGTGAAATTTTTTTTAAATATGAAACTGCATTTAATTAGCCTCAAGATTGACAAAAAATATAGGCACAAAATATAGGCTTTCTAAAAACTACATGGCAGTCTCCCCAGTCCCTGCCATATTTCATTTAGTCAGTGATCAACCATACACTTAAAGAGATATTAAAGGCTCTCTAAGATTTGAATCCAACCTACCCACATAGTAATATTACTCAATGCCTCCCCAATAATACAGTCAAAGTATATTTTTATTGTCCTCTGAACACACACATTACATTCTTCCATTATCTGGATGACTACTCCCTACCACTCCATTCCATCTCCTCCTCATTTACACTCATCACTTCCCAAGGCTTACATCAATCAGCTGCATCTCCTACACAAAACTTCTCTTGACTCACCAGCTATCATTATTCAATTCCATCTAACTCAAACATTTACTACGAATTTACTATATTCAAGTAAATACATTTTAGATTCTCATTTTGTAGTTCTCTTAAGGCCCAATTATTGTCTCCATGCATTTTAATTAAGTGGGTACATCCCACCTCTTTTAATTATAACTCCCTTATAATTATAATTTTGAGGACAGAAACTTTATTTTCCTCATCAATATATCCAAAAACAGACTTTCAGTATTTAGAAGAAGCTTAGAGATTATCAAGTACAGCTTCAGATTATTTATATATGATAACAACAGAGCCCCAAGAAAGTATAAGTGATTTACTTATTTAAAATGACATAGTAAATGAATCAATACAATACATTCAAAAGTGCTTAGAAAAGTGCCTAACAGAGCATCCAACCAATATTAGCTACAGTTATTGTTAGACTGAAAATCATTATCATTTGTCATCTCAACACAAATAACTACATTGAATAAATAAGACTTCATGTCTCTTTGTACATAGCAGTTAAGATTATTATTATTTTCTGTGCCAGACATTTTGACTCCATCTCCCTATTATTCTGTTTTCCACTTCTGTCCTAATACATTCCCCACTGATTATTAAAATCTATTAAAATCAAGGTCCTCAGCAAATCTCATGCTGTCCATCACCTTCATTTCCTACTCTGCCTCATTAAAATCAAACCTGTTAGAATCCCTCTAACTCCGTGTTATCCAATGTGGTAGCTGCAAGCCATTTATGCTTATAGTTGTGGCCAGTCTAAAACTGAGATGGACAATGAGTGTAAAATACAAGATTTTGAAGATTTTGACAACTTGTTCAAAAAGATTTTGAAGACTTATTACAAAATCAGCATAAAATATCTCATTAATAACTAACACTATGAATATATTGATTTAAATAAAATTATTAAAATTAATTTATCTACTTAAACTTTTTTTTAATGTACCTGGTAAAAAATTTAAAATTACATCCTTGGTTCAAATTTGTCACTCATATTCTATTTCTATTGAGTAATGCAGCTGCTCTAATTGTCCTACTAGAAACTACTGACTCTCCTTCCAATGTGTAATATATGCAAGAAGGCCTGAGTTTTTCTCATCCACAATTCTACAAATTCTGCCATGCTTTAAAAGAACAGCCAGCAGCTTTCCAAAAAGAAAGCAGGAAAGGAGGGTGGGTAAAGAAAATCAGATGGAACAAATAGAAAATAAAAAGCAAAGCAGTTGACTTAAAACAACCATATGGATAATTACATGAATGCAAATATTCTAAGCATTCTAATTAAATGGCAGAAATTATTCAGATTGGATAAAAAAGCAAGACACTTTTTTGCTGTCTGCAAAAAAATCACTTTCAAGATAAAGACATACATAGAAAAAGTACGTTCAGAATAGTAGACCAAATACCTCCAAAAATCAGGCCCTCTATAAAAGCAAAAGAGAACACTACCAACAACTGCCAAAATCAACTTTTTACAGATCTAGAAATTAACCAGAGATTTGCAACAATCTGAAGAGTATTTATTGGAGGAAAACAGCTGAATTTTGGTTAAAACAGTGATATTGTGGTGTGTTAATGTATTCTACTCCCCATCTCCTCTACTCAGGTCTTCTGTAGCCTTGAAAACCAAAATCCTTAGAATTACAGTAGCCATGAAAACCAGCAGTCCCACAGACACTGGAGAACAGGTTTAGTGCTACCCAAAAGCCCCATCCCCAGGATACTGTCATTATTTGATCTGACAGTACCCTGAAAACCTTCATTCACAGGGATTCTCTTTATTTGACCTGAATTGGAGTTCATTCATACAGCCTTTCTCCCCAAGGCAATTGTCAAAAATAATCAGTAGCCATTGTTTAACACCACAAATGCCTGAGGCAGTGATCACAATTGAGGCAAACCATAACCTGATCAAAATACTTAAAAGGCAAAGCTGGAAAATCATGTATATCAGTGTGTGGGGGTTGGGGGGTGCTGTCTTTGAGAAGCTATAATATATTCTTGGCAATTTAGAGGATCATGCACATGTTCAGGGCTGTGCACGTGCCCAGAAATGACTTGATGAAACCCTAATCTCTCACCTCTGGCTGACCTTGAGGTTTGGGATAGTTGGAAGTGAAGGCTAAGACAGAGTTGTAAACTGCCTGCAGGGCATAGAAAACATGCCCCAACAAGCCACAGAGATCTTCAGCAAAAACTGGGAGACTTATTGGTTCAAGACATTTAAGGATATATAAATCCGGTCATTAGCAAGCCATGAAGCTAACCAAGCAGAGACTTTGGTGGCCACACATGACAAAGAATACAGACTTTAACTCAGGAAAGTAACTAAACAAACAAAAAGCAGTAGCAAACAACAAAAACAGCAAACAATAAACCCTGAGAAATAGGGGTTTACAGAGTTTCGTATTATATTATTTAAAATCTTCAATTTTCAAAAAAATATTACATACAAAGAAACAAGAGTATGACCCATACACAGGGGAAAATGCAGTCAATAGGACTGTCTTTGAGGAAGCCCAGAAGTTGGCCTTACTAAACAGAGACTTTAAATCACCTATTATAAAAATATGTACAAAGAACTAAGGAAACCTTGTCTAAATATCTAAAGTAAAGTATGGCAACATGGCAATAATGTCTCATCAAGGAGGGAATAGCAATAGAGGAATAGAAATTATTTTTTAAAAGAACCAAAAAGAAATTCTAGAGTTGAAAAGTACATGAAAGAAATGAAAAATTCACTAGAGAAGCTAGCAGAAGAAAGAATAAGTGAACCTGAAAATATGTCAATTGAGATTATTCAGTCTAAGGAACAGAAAGAAAAAATAAAGAAAAATGAACAGAATCTTAGAGATCTGTGGGATACCATTGAGCACAACAACATAGATATAATAGGGGCTCCAGAATAAGAGGAGAAATTGCCAGAAAGAATTTTCAAAGAAATAATGGACAAAAACTTCCATAATTTAAAGAAAAGCAATCTACATATCCAACAAGCCCAAAGAATTCCAAACCACATACATTATAATCAAACTTTCAAAAAACAAAGATGAAGAGAGAATCTGTAATGCAACACAAGAGAAGTGATTCAGCAGGTACCAAAAATCCTCAATAAGATTAACAGCTGGTTTTGCATCAGAAACATGAAGCTACCAGGAAGTGGGATGACTTATTCAAAGTGCTGAAGGAATTTCAGAATATTTGCATATTGCACTTCAATTCTTTCAAATAAGAATTCAATTTCGACAAAAATTTCCCTTCAAAAAGGAAGGAAAATTAAGATATTCTTGGATGAACAAAAACAGACAATTCATCATTAGCACAACTTCCCTACAAGATATACTAAAGAGAATCCTTCAGTTGAAATGCAAGGACACTAGACAACAACGCACATCCATGTGGGGGGGAAAAAAAAAGCACCAGGAAGGAAACTGCATAGACAAATATAATGACAGTATAAATTTTTTTCTCTTATTTCTCCATCTTTATTTAAAATAAAATTACAGAAAGCAGCAATTATGAAACTGTGTTGATGAGGCTTATCTGTATGAAGATGTAGTTTGTATGACAATAAAATCATTAAGAAGAGAGGGAATGGAACTAAATAGAAGCAGAAGTTTTGTGTGCTATTCAAATTAAATTGGTATTAATACATACTAGATTGTTATAAACTAAGATGTTAATTGTGAACCTCAGAACAACCATCACTAAAAAAAAACTGTAAAATATAGTAATAGAAACAAAGGAATTAAAATGGTACACTAGAAAACAGTTAACACAAAAGGCACTAATGCAGAAACAGAGAAACAAAAAGACATGATATGCAGAAAACAAATAGCAAAATGAAAGAGGCAAATCCTACCTTATATGTGATTACATTAAATGTAAACTGACCAAATACTCCAAGCAAAGGGAGAACTTCGTAAAATGGATAAAGACTATAATCCAACCACATGTTGTCTGTAAGAGACACGCTTTAGATTCAAAGACACAAAAGAGTTGATAGTAAAAGAATGGTAAAAATTAACTATGCAAGCAGTAACCAAAAGAAAGCTGCAATGGTTATACTA